TTAGGTGCAATTTGTGCACGGACACTGTCATAACAATAGTTATGCAAATGACTCATTCTATTGTAATATGTGCAATGAAATGAGTGCATTTATTTATGATGACATTTTGATTGTGCACGAGAAACATTTACAAATAAATATGGTCTTTTTAAAGCATTTTGTAAATATGAAACTCTTTTTAAATCAAAATTTTTTTTGGCCAAATGGCTAAAACGATCATAATAATCACACTTATACACATTAACATGCTTATGATGAAATTTTGATGCATGTGTGTGTGTGTAAGGTGATGAACCTTTATGAGATGTACAACAAACATTAGTATTAGAAATTTTGGGTTTATGTGCATCATAGCAAAATATAGCAAGACGGTCTTTACGGCCGCAAATGATGTATTTATAAACTTTGCTATATATGTGCATAGTGTGTACGTAATTTAGAAGCATTTGCACAAGACATAGCACTCATGTTCATAAGTTTCTTATGATTATCAATGTATTTAGTTAAGGTTGAATCTAGAGAAGATATACGGTTTTTCATAAGATTCAACTCATTATTAGGCACAATAGCATTGATATTAGAAGTAGAACAAACATGCTTAATTTTGAAAGAATCAAATTCATTCCTAATTGTTTCTACTTCTAACAATGCATCATTTTTCTCATGATTCAAGCTAGCAATATTTAAATTCAAAGAAGCATGATCCAATTTTAATTTTTTATTATTTTATTTGAGGATCACATTTTTTTTAGCAATAATATCAAATTTAGAAGCTAGCATATCATGATCAGATTTTAACTCTACATGCTCGCTTTTTAAATTTACCAAATTATGATGCAATTTATTATAGGTATGCATTAATCGTTTATAAGCACAAGAGAGTTCATCAATAGAAAGTTTACTTTCGGATTCGGACTCGCATATCTCACTAGGGCTATCGCCTAGTGACCGTGTGCATGATGAAGCTCCAATTGCACTTAAAGTGGAATCCATCAATACACGTTGGATCTCCTCCAAGTTGTATTGATGTGCTTTAATAAAATTTCATAATTTGTAAGCACTATCAAAAGAAGCAAGCTTGTTACATATAGATGAATCAAAAGCATTAAGTAAAAATTTTAACAAGAGCTTGTTCATTATAAACATTCTTTTATCATTATTGTTCTACTTGGATTTCTCCAATGTGGGCACAACATAAGCATAATTAATTATTTCTCATAAATCAAAATGTTTAGATCTAACAGATAGTTTAAATCTAACACATCATTGAGCATAAGGAAAATCATTTAGTTTTGGAGCGATATTAATATCATAACCTAAACTATGTGCAACGTGCATATCCATGATATAAATGCAAGAAAGATAATCACAAAACTAGATTAGAAAATTTACAAAGGGGGGATCTTTGACTCTAGGCGATTAATCCACAAATCAAAGAGCACTAAACTCTAATACCAAATGAAAGTACGTACCCTAGGGGAGTGAATAGGATATTTGCTAATCTAATCCAATTTTGCTACTAAATAAAAACTTATTCAACTAATATCCCATCAAATATGATATCCAATAAAATTATGTGCAAGGATAAACAATGAATAATAGGCAATAAAAACAATGAGACAATAAGAGTACGCCAAAACAATCAGAAACACAATGATATGTTTACGGAGTTCGGTCAACCCTTGACCTACATCTCCGCTCCTCACCTCGAGGAGATTCTTCACTATCAACACAAAATCACTACACAATCGGTTTTTCGAGCTCACCGAATTTTTTTACAATATACACGTTGAAAATCACACAATACACTTCTCTAAGTGTTGGCCAACCCGTGTCACCTTCCTCAAGTATTTGGAATTACTACCTCTCTCTAGGCTTTTACAACCAACTCACTCATCTTAGAATTGACCTCGTTCTTCTTTCAACCACTCCTCTAAGTGTCCTTGTGTATTACAACGTGTTCTCAATAATAATAAGCTCAAATAAATGAATTTGTTCTCCAATACAAATGAGAACGAAATTGAAGCTCACACAAAGATACACTCCCACAACCCAAGTATACTAAACGTGAAATATTTAAGCTCAAATGGTTGTGTGTGTAAACAATGAACAATGAAAATTAAACTCAAATTAATCTAGCAAATATATATAAGAATCAAAATAAAAATAAGGAAGATAATGAGTTTAGAAAAACTTCTCTAAACAAAGAGATGTAGATATAGATGTTTGAGGTTGAACTCCTCAAAACCGAAATTAAAAGCCTTCTCTTTATAAAACTCTTTTGCATAAACCAAAAACACACTTAAACTCTTGAAAATAATCTTATATAAACTCACTTAAACATCCATGTCTCAAGAACAAGCCTTGAAAGCTATATATATAGATAACCTCCTAAACAAAACAGTTCAAAACTAGTCGTTAGTGAGCAAACTAGTCGTTATCAGTCGACTGATGAACCTCATCGGTCGACTGATAGGCTGAACAGGCGAAAACAAATGAGCTATCGGTCGACTGATGACACTACATCAATCGACTTATAACATTGTTCAGTCGACTGATAAGGATGGGTCGACTGAGTAGAAACAAAAATGAAACTTCAGAGCAGTGTATTGGTCGACTGATATGAATATCGCTCGACCGAAAAACGTGCAAAGGCCATATGAACAGTAAAACTGATTTTCAAAGGTGTTTTAAAAATAGTAAATAAATTCAAAAAATTATTAAACTTGGGAAAATGTTTATTCATGAAAATGAACATGTTAGAAAAAGAATTTTTTAAATTGCATTTCTTATTTGTGAAAACTCATCATTTTGCGGAACGTACAAAAATACAAAATTGTCAAATACTTGATTTTGATGAAATCTAATATGTTCTGAAACACTTTCTAGTAGATTAATAGACTTGATAAAAGATATAAAATAGTATAATCAAGTCTTTAATCTATAAACACATTATTTTCCCAAATAAAGATAATAAATATGAAACAATTATGTATGTCTATAAATATAACTATTTGTTTTATATTTATACGATTGAATTTGAAAGCTATAAAATGAAAACGTGTATCTGTGTAATATTTGAGCTTTTAAGTATAAACACACAAGTATAAACACTTAAACTAATATACCCAAGCTAAATGATCTTGTGACGCTTGATCTTGGGCGATCCTTCTCTCATAGAATGGATGAAGCAATAATGTGTCTGGAACTTGAATTGCATCGTGCTTCATTCCAATTTCCTTTCATCCTCTAATGGATATGATCGTGTAGACGCAAGTCCAACAAACCTCCGACCGAGGATCTTTGTGTAGGATTCCTAACAAGTAAATACAAACACTCAACAAACGATGTTAGGAATTGTTTGTTAATCATCGAAACCAGATTAGATAGTAGGCTCATATATGAGATCTACCAGTATGCACTTTTATTTGGCCCCTCTGTGTTGGCCCTTCTGTATTGGCCCTTCTGTATTTGGCCAGTAACCTATAGCAGTGATAGGTCCATTCGATTCCTGAGAATTATCTGTTATGTGATGCGTTTTACGCATTCCCATGCTACTGGGCTATAATTTGTTGCCTTAGTGTGACCTATGAGCTGATTTTCACATTCACGAATGACTCGTCGAGATTTAAAATTCTGACAATTGACTGTGAAATTGAGAAAATAATAATCCTCTGGTTTTGTACAAATTTAGTAGTTCTTTTTCTTTCTTAGTGGTTACCTTGATTCAAAAATGGTCTGATTCTAGAAAATATTATAGTATATTCAGTTGCACATAAGAAAGAAAATATAATTGTTGCATTATTTCTTGAAGATGATAATATTACGATATTTGGATCGTATTTTGCTATTTGTGAATTTCTGGTGCGAAACTTATAATTTTGATATTTCTGGGAATTATTATTATTATTTTGTTAGTTATCTAGGAACTCTAGTGGAAAATGTTCTTACTGAGCTCTAGCTCACCCCGTTGTTTTTTTTTATTTTTTTTTTCAGATCTCACCTAGCTATATTATAAGCTGAACTTTGGTTGTGGCACGTCGCTAAGAGGCGTTATAAAAAAAACCTCCTCTTTAGTGTTTCACACCGTCAATGACATGCTTTATTTTGTGAAATGTTTGTAACATGAGCTTGTGGGTTGTAAGTACTCATTACATATATAGTGGTTCTAAACTTCTATCATCAGCAAGTTTATGTGTTTTGAGATAAGCTCTATGATATGAAGTGTCAGACTTGACTCATGCTCGGGACTTATCTCGTGCACGGGTCGCTGCTATCACGTAAACCGTATTTATGAATTTTCGTTGTAAATTGGGGGCGTGACAACCTTGGAGTGTTTAGAGAAACTCATGATATCATATTGTATTAGTTAAATGGAAAAAAATGTACAGAATTTCTAATTGTTATTTGACTTGTGCTGACAATGATTTAAAATCTGAGAATCTTTTGGGGGTCACAGACCATTGTTGATCTAGGAATAGGATGCTTGAGAGGAGTATAATACCTAAAGGTCATATTTACCTCACAACGAGGGAAGGGAAGAAAGTACTTTAGATGTTCGACAACTCTTCAATAGCTGTTAAGAATTCATATGTGAATACAAGGGCATAAT